TGCTTATTTATTTCCATTGACATGGATTTGAAATCATTTTTAATTTATTTCTTTTATCTCTCATTTGGATTAGAGTGTAACATCTATTGACATGTGAATGGTACAATCTTATTTTAAATGTTGAAAGTGCTCAAATCACTCACATGAAGTACAATATTTTTTTATGAAATGTGCAACCTAAGTTTGACATAGGCAAAAGATAATAATTGATGATGTTATTTGTGCAGCTTGTCAATGAAGATGTTGGGACTCTGATCAATAAAGTGATATTACACAAGTAAAATGACATAAGGTATTATTAAAGAACTTAAATTTTTCTCTTTTTACTATACTGACTGTTCAATTATTTTATCCTTTCTACATTACTTGTTCCTATTATAAGTATTGTCCCCCATTAGTATCATATCTTCACCTAAATGGAAAATGATCTTCAAATAAAATTGTATAATTAAACATTTATTGTCAATATTGAATTTTCCTTATAAAAAATTTGGTTTTAGAATTCTAATTTTGAAAATGAAGTTCATATAATTAGTGTTGTCTATTTTAATTGGCCATTACAAGAGGCAAATTTAGAATAGTTTGCTAGTATATACAAGATATTAAATGGTCAATAAAAATCTATCTATTTCACGTTTGGAACAACAAGATTGATTCTTCGTAGTTAAAGATGAATTGAGAACAAGGATCAATATCTCAACAAAAAGATTATAGAAAAAATAAATCAAAGCATATAAAATCAATTGTCATTTTCAATAGAAGTACTCCTATTGTTGATAATTTGTAGACTTTCAAGCCTTAGCAACTAATTATATGTGGAAATACTCTTCAATTTATTTTACGAATCAAAATACATGTGCAATGTATGTGTAGAGAAAATATTATACTTAAAAAAGACGCACAAACACTATACGTTAAAATAATTAATATATTTAAAATATTTAAAAGGTATAACATAATTGTGGTGATTGCATACAAAATAGATTAATCAAAGAAAATTAACCCACAAATATGGCAAGATTGAGGAAGTCTATATCATTAATTAGACTTTTTAAACTCAAATATTGAAATGAAAGAAATTCTTATAATTAGTATTTTCTCATTTAATAGGCTCGTATGTATCGTAAATTCAGATAAGTCTATCAATAATAAATTCAGAATATATATTGAATGGTCAACAAAAATATCAAAAGAAAAATTTCAAAGGGTTATAGAACCTATCACCATATTGATCAACTCGAGTATCTCTAATCCTTCAGTCAATACTCTCTAGACTCTCATGTATCTCTTTTTCTCTCAAGTTTTATAACCAGGCAATCTACAATTAGGTAAGTTCTTAATTATCTAAAGTGTTCTATTCATCAAAGATTTGAGTTTTTGCAACTTTATCTCTTCTTTTTATTCTCTTTCTAGTGTATGCATGAAGGCATCCAAGAAAAGAAACTTCTTATTTTTCCTCTTCCCCCAATTTTTTTCACTTCGGCAAAAAATGAGAAATTAGTGTATGAGTTACAGGGAATGGAAGAGAATAAGTGTTGGTCTCATTTTTGAACTTCTTCCGATTTTCTGAACTTTTACACTCATCACTCATTTTCTTCCAAAGGAAAAAATTTGGGGAAACTAGAAAACAAAATGTTCCTTTTTTCGAATTCCTTCATATATTCTAGAAAGAGAATGAAAAAAAGAAGAAGAAGAGAAATTGCAAAAAATTTATTATTTGAAGAATAAAATACTTTGAGTAATTAAAAACTTACCTATTGTTGATTGCATGATTACAAAACCTGAAAGAAACAGAGATACTTGAAAGTCTTGAGTGTATGAACAACAGGATTGGGGCTACTCGAGTTGACCAATATAGCGATAAGTTTTATAACCTTTTGAGATTTTTCTTTTTGATATTTTGTTGACTATTCACTATTCTGAATTTACAGACGGACTTACTGAATTTATGTCACATTCAAGTCTATGAAATGAAAATAAAAATATAAGAATTTATTCATTTTCAAAATTTGAGTTAAAAAAAATTAATTAATTATAGACTACTTAATTTCACCATATTTTTGGGTAATTTTCTTTGATCACTCTATCGTGCATGAAATCATCGCAACTTGTCATTTTTTTAACGTTATACTTTAAAATATTTTAAATTATTGATTATTTTAATCTGTAGTGCGTTTATGTCATCTTTAAGTATATTATTTTTTCTACACGTGTGTTGCACATGTATGTTAGGTTGTATAATGCACAATTCAGAAACCCACTTTAAAAAATATCAAAGAGGATTAGAAATTCCACAAGGAAAATCACTTGATCTGACTTGCAAACATCCATAAAATTAGAGGCCGTATAAATATTGTCACGACCCAGACCGTCGTGATTGGCACCCACACTAACACTCCGGTGGGAGAACCACTACTACAACTCAAACCAAACAACTAAACCAGAACTAAGGCATGAAAGTTACGGAAGCAAGTTACATACTAAGAACATAAAGAGAGTTCCCATAAACTCTAACAAAAGTCTAATAATAATAAACTAAGAATGCGGAAGAAATAACCTAGAACCTGAAAGTCAATGTACCAAAACATCTAACAATGATCCAAGTCTAAACAAGAAGGGATACAACCCCATACTAATGAACTAACTAAAACAAATGTCTAAGTCCGAAAATGGTGGACATAGACTAAAGAGAATCCCATGGTAGCCCGGAAGAATTGGCTCACCCTTGAATTCGAAGTGACGATCATTGATCTCCTAAGCGAGGTCTGTCAGTAGCCTCTTGAAGATACCTTGTACTCAACAAAAATAAGAGCAAGTGCAGTATCAGTACACAACCACAGTGTACTGGTAGGATCACGCGGCTATCCCACTAAGTGAAACATAAGCAAGTCAAGACAACATTATAATCACATGCATATATATCAACATATACAATATTATCAACATTTACGAACAAGGAACAACTTCACATTTTATATCAAATCATAGGTTCTCTCATGGAACCTAAACCCAAATAGTTAGCATATCAAAACGTGGTATCCGATCCTATAATTATGCTGTAATGTGGCAACCGATCCGATAGTTATGCCAGAATGTGGCAACCGATCCATTCAACACACCACAATCACAATCACAAGTATATCATCAAGATCATATATCTAAGTCATGATTTCATGACAATCATCATTCATATATCTCATATACAACAAGTGTGATCAACATTGCAACAATCATACATACAAGTATCATAATGAAGCAAGAACAAACATACATCACACAATCATAGAATCACAACCATCACCTACCTCGAAACAAACTTGAAACCCTAAGAAACTTGATCCTTCCCTTTCCGAATTCGTTCCGCTTGTTCTTGGTCTATAAACAATCATAATAGCATGGAAATCAATAAACAATCAGTAATTACCCGAATTACTAACAATTCTATGAATCCTAGATCATACCCATGATCCCAATTATCCAATTTAGGGTTGTTTCCACCATAGAATCCATAAAAAATCCCTCCCCTAACAATATTCACCCGTTCTATTACGTTCTACGGATCGAAAAATAGATTTGGGGAGTGAAAAGCTTATCTCTAGCCTCAAGAATGGTGAAAAATGAGTAGGAGTCACCTAGGATTTTTTCCTTAGCTCTAAAAGTTGAAAATTGCATAATAAAGTCGTTTAGGGGTTTATTAACGACTTTAATTCACGTCAAGCCCACCACAGTGGCAGTCACCCCACTGTAGCGGCCCCGCCAGAGCGGTAAAACCCAGCACCAAAGCAGGTTACCTGAGACAGAGAGGTATTTCAAGAATTCCAAGATTCTCATTTCACAACATACCTCTAACCAATGACGCTTCTTTAGGGAGGTATAATTTGAGCGATGTTGCTGTGTGGTTTAATAAGCTTCCTTATAACTCAATCTACACATGGGGATAACTAACTGAGGTGTTCTTTGCAAGATTCTTTCATGTGTCAAAGAAGTTGAACCACAAAGATAAACTAAACAACTTCGTAGCATTACCAGGAGAATCTGTGAGTAACTCTTAGGACAGGTTCACTGCTTTCATACGAAGTGTTCCAAATCACCGCATTGATGATGAATCGCTGAAAGAGTATTTCTACCGAGGTCAGGATGACAATAGTAAGGCGGTGGTTGATACTATCACTGGAGGTTCATATGGTGAGTGCATTTTTGAGTAGATTGCGGAGAAACTGGAGAAGATTTCCTGAAATAATAAAGCATGGAGCACTAGAAAGTCAGATACTAGGAGAAACACGTTTGCCATTCAAGCTACAAACAACCAGTCTGCAGATGAGATTCATGAGGAGATGGCTCAGATGAGGACCGAATTGGGTGGGTGTTGAAACATGTGAGAGGAGGTGTGGCAAAGGTAAATGCTGTCAATTATTTGACAAGAAATCCACCACTGGGTGTGGAATGTTACTATGAAGAGGATACTTATGCGGTGAATGATCAGGGCGGGTTTCCGAGCCAACGCCCAAGGTTCCAATACGGATAATTGGTGTCGAGGTCAAGGAAACCAAGGTCGGAACTATGGCAACTACAATCGATGAGGTCATTATGTCCGGGATGGGAACTACATTCGCGACAACAACTACAACCGAAACAATTATGGTAATAAAAATGATCGGGTTGGACCTTATGTACCTCTTCAAAATTGGGAATCTGGTAATAGGGAAGCCGGAGGTAATATGTCACATATTGAGGATATGATGCAGGAGATGATGAGAAGGTTTGATGCAACTGATGAGAATGTGAAGGAGATGCGAAATGACTTGTCTGGTATTTGTCAAAAAGTTGATTCCCATGCAGTGTCAATCAAGCATCTTGAGCAGTAGATGACTCAGTTGTCTACTACAGTGAACCCACGTCAACCATGCACACTTCCTAGAAACACCATCCAGATTCTAAAGAATGATGGGCATTGTATGACAGTCACTACCTGAGGGGGTAAGCAGACCATTGATGTACTGATGTCGTCTGGGGTTGACGTTAGGGTTAGTAAAGATAATGATGTGATTGAGGTAAATGAAGAGCCTGAGAATGCAACAGAGAAGGAAGCAGAGATAACTCCAAAAGTTGTTCCATGCCTAGACCTCCACCTCCCTTCCCACAAAGGTTAGTGAAGAAGACTGAAGAAGGCAAATACCGCAAGCTTATTAGTATGTTGAACCAGCTCTCCATCAATGTACCGTTGATAGAAGCTTTGGAGCAAATGCCTGGGTATGCAAAGTTTATGAAGGATTTGGTCACTAAAAAGCGGGCCATTAGTTTTGAAGATGATGATAAGTTGCAACATTTTAGTGCTATTGCTACAAGGTCCTTGTGCAGAAGAAGAAAGATCCTGGGGATTTCACTATTCCTTGTACCATTGGGTTGGTACATTTTTCAAAGGCATTGTGCGATTTGGGTGCTAGTATCAATTTGATGCCATTGTCTATTTACAAGTTGGGTTTAGACCAACTGTGATGTGACTGGCTGATGGAACTGTGAAGAAGCCCATTGGTGTGCTCCAAGATATACTAGTGAAAGTGGAGCCTTTTATCTTTCCGGTGGATTTTGTGATACTTGATTGTGATGTTGATTTTGAGGTTTCCATTATCCTTGGGAGACCTTTCCTAGTCACTGGGCGCGCCTTGGTTGATATGGAGAAAGGGCAGATGAAACTCCGATTGAATAATGAAGAGTCAACTTTCAATATCTCTAGGTCCATGAAGCAGAGTATTGAGCTCAAATCAGTATCTATGGTGACACATATTGTAGAGAGTGGTTTTGAGGTGCCTATTAAAGAGAGGTTGGGTGTTGATGCACTAACAGCGGTAATGATGAACTTTGATGGTGATGGTATTGAAGACTATGATGAATTGGTCGCCGCACTTGATAGGCTTGAAATCCCTTCAAAACCAAAGAGATTGGAATTAGACATGAAGAATCGCGACTCTCCACCTTTTAGACCGTGTGTTGAGGAGGCACCGAAATTGGAGCTTAAGGCTCTACCATCACATTTGAGGTATGCATTCTTTGGGAGAGATGGTACTTTACGAGTCATCATTGCAGCAAATTTTAATGTGGCATAAGTTTAGGAATTGGTTTCCGTGTTGAAGAGGTTTGTAACACCCCGTATCCAAAAATAGAGATTTCAGATTTCTGGTGTTACAGGTGGCACTCACGGACACCATCCACGGACCGTAGATGGACTCATGGTCCGTCCTGCAGGTCCGTGGTTCGTTATAGAAAACTTCCCCAAAACTCAGTCAGAAAATTTGACTAAGTCTCGACTCACGGACAGACCCACGGTCCGTAGATCTGACCACGGTCCGTGGTCTGTGTCCGTGGATCAGGACTTCCCTTACCAGCCTCTTACACAAACTACGGTCGACCAGCACGGACTGTCAATCGATCCACGGTCCGTAGGTATGACCGTAGATGAGCATCAACAGCCAGTTAGCTGAAAATTCTGATAGATCAAGTTCAGATGGTCATACCTCTTAGCAAAAAACGAATTATGTGTCCCATTACCTATGGTTAGATAGATAATTGAATTATCTTTCCAACGCCACCAAGTTTGCTAAATTCTGACCTCCGAGTAAAAAGTTATGCTAGTTTTAGTGAAGGTCTGTCGAACAGGCTTGACTTACGGACGCAATCTACGGACCGTAGATTGACCTACGGCCCGTAGGTCCAATCCGTAGATCACTCCGACAGCAGCTAATTCAGGGATCTTTTGGTCTTTTCCTATTTCGTTTAACCCCTAAGATACGTCGTTTAGACCCTAAATCATGAGATTTTTATCAGTTTAAACCTAGAAACATAACTAGAACTTACCTTAGTCAAATCATTAATCAAACTTAGAAGAATTAGAACGCTAAGAGGAGAAAAAAAGGTCAAGAACCCTAGTTCAAGAACACAGCAAGGTTCCATCAGTTCCAGCCCCGAAATCAAAGGATTTCTCCGTGGAATTCGTCACCAGGTATGTGGGATTTCACCAGTGGGTTCCTTTCGCCCATTAGGTCCCTAGAATTCAGTCAGATTCTTGATTCCATGATTATGAACAGACCCAGGGTTTCTATAATTACAGCAGATCATCATGAATTAGTTATTTAAATGTTCCAAATAAGATTATCATGTTATTGCTCAGTTTATCGCATGAATTTCAGAACCCTAGCTATGTATTTCTTTGGTTCTTGAATTACACATGCTAGGTCAGATATTTCAGTATTCAGTTTTACATGCCTCAGTTTATGAATGCATCATTATCAGATTAATTGTTGCATTCTTAGTATGCAAGTTCAGTTTCGAGCTATCCAGTATTTACAGAAATTCATCCATAACCAGTTAACCACTTAATTCATTGGGAGTAGCATAATACCAAGTTGGACTAGGGTTTCAGCGTACCCATATAGTCCCAGAACTACGAGCCACGTAGGTGTAAGTCCCCTCTGTGGGCAGCATCAGTTTAGTGATCACGCCAGTCATTTCTCTATACCTTTGGCCGAGTATATTGGGTCCTCTCTATGAGGCGTATACATCGGACTCCACATTTAGTTCATGTGGTTTTATGTCGGTTATTAATAGCTCCCACAGTTCAGTCAGACTCTATTGCATTGACGATATTTCAGTACAGTCAATATTCAGTCTCAGCATGTTATAAATTTGGTCATTGCATCAGTTAGCTCAGTATCTACTATTTTCAGTATCTTTATCATGTTCAGATTATTTCATTGCTTTATTGCTTTGTTCAGTTATATGTTATTTCAGCTTTACTCTATCTTGCATGCTCAGTACCCTTCAATTACTGACGCATACGTGCGCTACATCTTTTCGTGATCTAGGTTTAGGTTCTCAGCATCCAGATCACGCTTAGATCGATTCCCGATCTTCAGTTCAGCAGCATCAGTGGTGAGTCCTCATTCTTCGAGGACTAGTGACATGTTTATCTTTAACACTTTTAGTCTTTAGTTTCAGTTTTTCTAGATCTAGTTGGGGCATGTCCCAATATTTCTAGTCAGTTTAGAGGCTTAATTCAGACATAGTTAGATTCAGCTTAGTGTTTTGAGTTTGATATTTCTTTTGTATTAAACTCTCAGATTTGATATATTCAGTTATAGTATATGGGTATTCCCCATCTTTTCAGATTTATTTATGAATTAGCTTCCGCATCAGTTTATTATCTTTAGTATGCTCATGATTATGCCAGCAGGGTTAGCTTGGGATCACTTGTGGTCCTAGGTCCCGTGTCCGCGTCTTGGGGGTAGCTCGGGGCGTGACAAACTTGGTATCAGAGCATTAGGTTTAAGAGTCCTAGGATGTCTGAAAAGCCGCACTAAGTAGAGTCCTTTTCATGGGTGTGAAGTGCACCACATCTAATGAGAGGGAGGCTATGAAGTGTTTTAGGAAAACTTCACTTTCTTGATATTCTTATCGTGCATTGGTATGATCTCCTTTCTAATCCATCGTTATGCGCTTAAGATCACGCCTTCTCATAGAGCTTAGGGAAGGAATGCTAACGCAGTTCCTCTAGTCCCAGATCAGGAAATTTCGAATGCAGAGTATCGAAATGCCAATTCAGCTTTTGGCTCAGGTATGACGAACGAGAACAATTAGCAAGTTACAGTTCCTACTAATAGAAATGGTGGATCAGTGGCAGATAGGGTTCTAAATTTTGTAAGGATGAATCCTCCGAAGATTTTAAGGTCGCAAGTTGGTGAAGACCCACATAACTTCATTGGTAAGGTTAAGAAAATCTTTGGAGTGATGCGAATGACTGGTAATGGTAGGGTTGAGTTCGCATCCTACCAGCTTAAGGATGTGGCTCACGTATGGTTCTCTCAGTGGAAAGACAACAGGGCTACTTTGTCTTTTGTAACTCTTTATATAGCAATCCAATTAAGTGTAAGCCCAGAAACTCTTTCAGAACCTTTCTCAGTCTCTACTCCAGTCGGTGACCCAGTTATAGCTAGACGGGTATACAGAGACTGCCTTATCTCAGTCTCTCAGAAAGTCACCTCAGCAGATCTTGTAAAGTTAGAAATGATAGATTTTGATATAATTCTAGGCATGGATTGGTTTCAATTCTGTCATGCCTCAGTCGATTGTAGAATTTGGGTTGTTTAGTTCCAATTTCCAAACGAGCCAGTCTTAGAATAGAAGGGTAGTATCTTAGTGCCTATCTATTGATTATCTCTTACCTTAAGGCCAGAAAGAGGTGAATCTAGAGGGTGGTGTAGCACATATTGAGGAAAAAGGGAATGAAGTAGAAAAAGATGTTCATCGTCTTGCTCTCTAAGGAGTTAGTCTTACTAGCACATCAAATGGTGGTGTGATAGTCCAGAATAGATCAGAATCTTCTTTAGTAGTAGAAGTTAAGGAAAAACAAGACAATGATCCAATATTGCTAGAGCTTAATGGTGCAGTCCAGAAGCAGACAGTGGGGTTATTCTCCCAAGGGGGAGATGGTGTACTTCGCTATCAAGGTAGATTGTGTGTTCCTGATGTGAGTGAATTGAGACAGCATATTCTCAGCGAACCCCATAATTCCAGATATTCTATTCATCCAGGTGCCACTAAGATGTACCGTGATCTGCGGGAAGTCCACTGGTGAAATGGTATAAAAAGAGATATAGCAGATTTTGTGGCTAAGTGCCCTAATTGCCAACAAGTCCAGATAGAACATCTGAAACCAGGAGGTATGACTCAAGAGATTGACATTCCTACTTGGAAGTGGGAAGTGATCAACATGGACTTCATCACAGGTTTACCTCGTACTCGCAGACAACATGACTCCATTTGGGTGATTATTGATAGGGTTACTAAGTCTTCTTGCTTTTTGGCGGTCAAGACTACAGATTCGGCGGAGGATTACACCAAGCTTTACATTAATGAGATTGTGAGGTTGCATGGAGTTCCTTTGTCTATCATCTCAGATAGAGGTCCTCAGTTTACATCTAATTTCTAGAAGTCATTTCAGAAAGGTCTTGGTACTCAGGTTAATCTCAGCACAGCATTTCATCCACAGACGGATGGTCAGGCAGAGGGTACCATTCAGACCTTAGAGGACATGTTGAGAGCTTGTGTGATCGACTTCAAGGGTAGTTGGGATGATCACCTTTCTCTAATAGAGTTCCCCTTCAACAATAGCTACCATTCCAGCATTCAGATGGCCCCTTATGAGGCATTGTATGGGCGTAGATGTAGATCTCCAGTTGGTTGGTTTGAAGTAGGTGAAGCAGCCTTGATAGGACCAGATTCTGTCCTTGATGCTATGGAGAAAGTGCAACTAATTTGAGATAGACTTAAGACTGCTCAGAGTCGCCAGAAGTCTTATGCAGATGTGAGAAGAAGGGAACTAGAGTTCCAAGTTGATGATTGGGTTTCCCTAAAAGTGTCGCCCATGAAGGGAGTGATGAGATTTGGCAAGAAAGGAAAGCTCAGTCCCAGATATGTAGGCCTTTACTGGATCTTGAAAAGGATTGGTAAAGTGGCTTATGAGTTAGAGTTGCCAGCAGACTTAGCAGCAGTGCATCCAGTCTTTCACATTTCTCTTTTGAAGAAGTGTGTGGGTGATCCAGCAACCATAGTACCATTAGAGAGTGTGGCCAAGAAAGATAGCCTTTCATATGAGGATACACCAATTGAGATTCTCAATCGTCAGGTTAGAAGGTTGAGGAATAAAGAAGTCGCTTCAGTCAAGATTTTGTGGAGTAGTCAGTCCGTAGAGGGAGCTACGTGGGAAGCAGAAGCAGCCATGAAGTCCAAGTATCCTCACCTCTTTCCTTCCGATTCCATTCCAGCTTGAGGTAATTGTTCCTCTTCAGTTTTTCAGTCACTCATGCGAAAATTCTGTCTTAGAATCATGTTCCTTCAGTTTGTACTTGCATATTCAACGTATTTGCATGTTCTTGGAACTCAGTTCAGTTACAAATTCAGTTCTCAGTGTTTAGTGGTAGGGATTGCAGCCTTCTCCCTCAATTTCAGCTAGATTAGTCTTCATTCGAGGACGAATGGTCCCGAGGGGGAGATAATATAACACCCCGTATCCAAAAATAGAGATTTCAGATTTCTGGTGTTACAGGTGGCA